CTTATATCCATCAGCTCCAGGGGATCTAATGTTCTTCTGGCTTCTGAAGACACACACACACACACACACACACACACACACACACACACACACACACACGCGCGCGCGCGCACGCGCACGCCAATAAAAACATGTCTATGCAAGTAAGTATGGAAGCCAGATTCTCATCTGATGCCTTCCATCACAGTCCATCTTAGCTTCTGTGACAGGGGTACTTACCAAACCTGAAGCTCACTGATTGGCTAGACTGATTGGCCACATGGATGCTCCATCTCCCAGTGCTGGGATTAGGGAGACCTGTGGCAAGGCCTGGCTTTTTATATGCGATCAGGGGATCTGAATTCAGGTCCTCAAGGTTGCATAGCAAGGGCTTTACCCAATGAGCCATTCCACTGCCTGGAATTCTTATTCTTTTTTTTTTTTTTTTAAAGATATACTTCTAACTATGTGTACAGAGGGCAGAGAAGGGGCATATGGATGTAAATGCAGGTACCCGTGGTGGCCAGAGGTGCCAGATCCCTCTGGATCTGGAGCTACAGGTGATTGTGAGCTGCTCAACATGGTGATGGGACCAAGTTCTTGTCCTCAGTACATGTCCTTAAGCAATGAGCCATCTCTCCAGGCCCACAATTCTAATTTTTAAATGTCATACTTTTTTGTTTTGTTTTCACCAGAGACAGGGTTTCTTTGTGTAGCCTTGGCTATCCTGGAACTATCTCTGCAAACCATGATGACCCTGAACTCACAGAGATCACCTGCCTCTGCCTCCTGAGTGCTGGATTAACGGTGTGCACCACCACTACTGCCCAGCTTAAATGTCATTCTTAATTGCTCCTTTAGGTTTGTCCAAATGTGCATGGTACAGTCTACACATGCAATGGGAATTCAACATGCAATTCCACATGGAGAGAGAGGCGGCCTCTGCTTATCTCTGTGCACCTACTCACTTCTCTCAAAGCACAGCAGTGGGTAAACATTCCATCACTTCCAGCATCATGCCACATCTGTGACCACATTTATGACATAAGTTTACAAGGTCACCAGACATTACTAAATTAGTCTGAAGGTACCTTGACTAGTGCGCCCAACATGTCTAATATTACATATCCTCAACGCTAAACTTTGAAATGTTGGCCTCTTTAGATGAAGGTTTTTGCGAATTATCTTTGGCAAGCACAGGCTTGGCAGGGAAGTTTGATGGTCTGGGCTGTTATGTGTCACATAACAACAGGTAGTCACAGACATCTAGTCATTTCCTCCAAGTGAGTTGTTTTCTTTATGGTGTCAATTGACTGTGCCCAGCTGTCACACACTCAACTTCACAATTAACAACTGGAAAGGGAGTCTGAACCACACAGACCATAGAAGGCTTAGCCTGACTCTAACTCATGTGTGTTTCCCCCAGAGAACCTAAGTGTCTACTTGGAAAGCACCCTTTCTACCCAGGTTTCCCCACATAGGAAGAAGCCTCATGTGATGTGTGGCTGAGCCACGTGCCAATCATTCATCCTTATGGAATCAACATGAGCTAATTTAAACACGGAAACAGAAGACAGCCCAAATCATTGACGGGTTTCTTCTTGTTAATTAACTGAAAAGCTATGTAAGAAAATTAGTAAGAAAAGAGAGAAGGAGAACCCTTTTCCTGAGCTGTTCTTTGAGTCAAAACGGAAAGGAAGAAAAGCATCTCCATACAGTCCTGTTACTATAACACTGTTGTCTCCCTGCCTCATCTGAGGCTTCATCCTCCATGTTGTCCGTTACTTCAGTCAACCATGCTCCCAAAATAGTAAATGATAATTCCACAACAAACTATTTATAGGTTTGAACAACTTGTATTATAATACACTGTTGTAGCCAGGCGTGGCAGTGAACTCCTTTAATCCAGCACTCTAGAGGCAGAGGCAGGCAGACCTCTGTGAGTTCCAGGCCAGCCAAGGCTATATATTGAGACCTGTTCTCAAAAAACAAACAAAGAAAATTGTATTTGCTAATTTCTTACTGTGCCTAATCATAAATTAAGTAAATTGTATTTGTTAGTTTCTTACTGTGTCTAATCATAAATTAAGTATTATCACTGCTAGAATGTGTGTGTGTGGGGGGGGGGTGAAGCGGGGTTACAGGGTCAGTGCTCTCTCCGGTTTCAGGCATCCACCAGAGTCCGTGAATGCATAACCCCATGGCTAAGAAGGGACCACTATAGCTGTTTCACACAGGTTCTTTCTGACCAAAGGATTTTGCAGGAAATTAAAGAGACTGTAAGTGAGACTGCAGGGTGGGAAGATGTGAGGACCGCTGTCCACAGAATGCCTAGAACAAGACTGGCTTTGGGAAGTGGATACCTTCTTTCGTCTACAAGGTGCTGACAGTCCCTTACTTGGGTGTCTTTCAGGGCATGGCTGTTCAAACTGTTAAAATAATATCTCGAAGACAGAGAACTTAAGACTTCTTCCTTGCACTCTCCTTTTGCCTTAATCTGTCAATCTATTAGTGAAGAGAAACTCTGATGTTTCCTTTTTGTTTTGTTTGGTGACTGGGCCTCACTACATAGCTCAGGCCGTACTCAAACTCACAATCCTACTTGGTCTCCATCATACTGGAATTACAGGCATGTTTCTCTCCACAGAGTTTAATATCCACTTCACTCCTAAGAAAGGAACCTCTTACCTCATGGCTTTGGAATGAAAAGACATTTGTTTTTAACCCACTCACCTAACTTCGGACTTAAAAAATGTTGATCTGACCATGGTATGCTAGAGCATTGCAGGGCTAGGATTGCCTGAACGGAGTCCACTGCTTATTTTTCCTACACTGGACAGGCAGAGGCTACATTTAGACAACAGTAAAGAGTTGCAGCCATCTTGAGGGCGCGCAACTTCCTGTGCTATTCCACCAGGAATAATAGGAAATTCTCTACCCTTAAAATCTCTTACTGTTAACTCTGTTGGTAATTATTTCAATGGCCACCTGACCCGCTTATGAAATAAAGAAGAATAGTACTAATGCACTCAAAGAATACAGTCTCAAACACTGCTGATGAGAACACAGAAATGCGGGGATTTGGATGCATGTATCCTTGACCAAAGTCTTGTCTACATAGCATTTTTTTTTTTCAGGAAAGAAACCAGTTATCAGTCTTCATGAAGCTTATTTCAACATTATGAAGGTTGGTTGCCCTTCAGAAACAGGACCATTCATTCAGCTATTGTTAAACCCTGCTGCACATACACTCAATAAAAGTCAACACACACACTTGCAGCCTTCATTGCCCACAAATATCATTAGATGTTCATGATAGCATTTCTCTCTTGGGGGTCTCATTATTATCTAGGAAATAATTTCCTATTTCAGTCTTTCCAATCACATCATCCAAAAGGATGAAGATAAAATATTTTCCTTAAAGACCATCTGCCCTGAAATCTCATTCACCACTCTCACGATCTCTTCCCATGTGGTACCAGCCTCCTCTGCTCTCCAGAGCAGTATGTAGTAAGTTCTGAAACAGCATATTAGCTGGCCGAAGCTACCATCGAGGAGGGCACAGGTGTCACATGACTGGGGACAGAGTTTAAGCCATCGTGTTGGGAGAGCTACCTCTGGGGGAACAGAAGTGGGTGACCTCTTTGGACTGACTGAATAATATCATCAACAGAGGGATGACGACATCACTGAGATGCTTCGGCACAGGAGGGAGACACAAACACACTCAAGTGTATGGGCTCTAACATGACTGTTTCAACTTCCCAGCATTGTGATCTTGCTAGACCCATCAGTGTAAGATAGGCTAGAACACCATCACTGCAAAGTCTGGGGAAACGGGGTCACAGTACAGCGATTCTACCACGCTTTACCACTAGCAAACCAGGTTCCCTTCAAATTCCAGTGTGCTTTGAGTTAACATCAAAGACAAGAATTCTCAACCCCACCAACTGGCAGATACAGGAATTTCAACTGTTCTGATATGTTGACTCTAAGTAGATCACTATTAATTTCTTACTTTCCAACCTACTAGTGAACCAGAAATACCGCCAGAATTGCTGCTGAAGTTACAGATCACAGAGGAGTCTCACGAAGGCAGTTCCTGCTTTCATCCTCCAAGCACAGCAAGTTCCCAACAAAAAGCAGCTTTTGATTCACATTAGCATTTCACACACAGTGCCTCAAAATTACCTTCAGGAGGCAGTGAGCCGAGTCACCTACGACTTGACAGGTATGATTACCAATACAGCTTTTTTTTCCACGTTCTGAAAGTCACACCCTGTCACCAAAAAGACACTAAATTTTCTACCTGTTGCAGAGGACCAGGTAGATGCTACTACCAAAAATCAAAATACACTAGCTTCAATTTATGGCCCGTTTTTTCTTATATCCAACAAGCTGAGATTACATTTAGATATTAGTGGAGTCCTCCATTCATCTAAGAACAGGTTAATTATTGTAACATTCCATTAGGAAGTTCTCTATTCTTAGAAATCACTCATTGCTACTCTGTTGGTAATTACTTTGAGTGCCATCTCAACTGCTCAACCAAGGAAAACATTTTAAAGGTCCTAAAGAATATAGTATAAATGCATAAAAGACATGGGATCTTCTCTTAAGAAAAGGTATTTTGATCAACTAGAAGAAATCCTGTGAATGTTGTTAGAATCCATTTAAAGTCGTGGCCTAGATCATCTCAGATGCCAGGAGCATTTTCTAACCGTTTCTAATACCATTCAGAAACAGAAAGCTGTATCTAGATGTGGACAACAAACCAAGAAACAAACTCACACATCTAACAGGTACTGAAGCCAATGTCTAGACAGGCACAGCACATAAAGAAATGAACAAACTCATGCATGTAACACGGGATCTGAAGCCACGCGAGCTGATCATTCCTTAAAGTCGCCGTTTCCACGCTAGCATCTCCACCGGGTTAATTATAAGCCATGCAGGAAACGGTCCAGTTGGCTTGCACGTGAAATAACCAGAATGGAAATATTTTAGACTATATCAGGTACCTGAGAGTTTCATGAGAAGTTCTGAGGCAGCTTTGGCAGACATGTCCCGCCTCGGCACATTCCCCTTGCCTTCCTGGGGTGTCAGCGGGTCCTCGGAGAGGCTAGGGGCCGCCACTTCCGGTTCCGGGCTGAACACATAGCTGGACCGAGGCAAAGGCGTGCTTAGGGGCTCCTCTTCCTTGGGCTCTTCCTTCACTTTAAAATTAAGATTCATAGGCTCCTTCTGGTTTGCAGCTGTCAAAAAACAAGAAGAAGGAAGAAGAGAGAGAGAGAAAGGGAAAGGGAGATATATATAGGTATATGTATCTCCCCAACGCCCCTCTAAGATGCCCACACTTCACCTTGTGCTTAACAGCCGGAGAGACCAAAAAGGCTAGGCCCTGGGCACATCACTGTACCCTTAGCCAGTGCTCCCCATGAGCCTCGGCCTCAGCTGAGTGTGAGCTTAAGCATATATTAAACCCGGGGTATTTTCAAAAGTGCGGTCTTTACAAAGCATGTGGGCATTTTCTCCTTGGTTTCTTTAAACATCTTCCCTGGACACACTGCTGCCTCCCCAGTCTCTGAGCACATTCTCCAGCTAATTCTATCATTAAACAATGGCTCACGAAATTATTCTGCTGTCAAATATTGAAATAAAAGCAGGAGTCAGCAGCAGTATCTACAACTGAACCTCAGGTGGGTGAAAAGGTGAGAATGTCGAATCTGCCAAAAAGAAAAGCAGGACTAGAGATCCACTGTTCTCACCTTATTATCAATGGACATTGCTGACTCGGGCCATATACTTTGTACTGTCACCATGAGTAAACCTATGGTGCAGAGCCCAGGTCATCCTCACATACAAAATGGGTTTTTATTTATTTTTTTTTTTAAGAAAAAATATTCTGGAACAATTTTAGATTTATAGAACATTTGCAAGACTAGTTCTAAGAGCTTCCATACAGACTTCCCTGGCATTCCCTAACAGTGGCATCTTACTTAATCACCATACATTTGTCAGAACTAAGAAATTCATGTGGCTATGACCCAAACTCCAAAGTTGTTCACTACTGCCGTTTTTTCATTTTTGGAAACCATGGGCAGCTGGCATGGAGAGCACAGTCAGAACAGAGCTAAGCAGCCTGCCATGGGATGGATGGTGTCAAGAGGCTGGCTACTCTGTGCAGGCCTGGTTCCCCATCACACTGCCCCTGCCATCTCCGTCAAAGACCCACATAGTGCCAACAGTGGCTGTGCCACACAGGGCACATTTGTCTTTTGATTTCATCCCAATCTGTGTTCTTAGCAGCTCCTCTTAGAAAGAGCCTGGCCTGTCCCATCCTAACAAACAAGACCGAGAAAACCGGCCCCCAAAGCTAACACAGTCCTGGTCCAATGTACTTCAGTGCCTTTCCCCATTTCTAAGGATGCTTACTTCAGACTACCAGTTTGAAGGGCTTGGCACATTTGCAAACTGGGCCTGAGAGCTAAAGGAACATCTCCAGGTCTCACAATTACAACTATGCAGAGCTGGGACTAGAACCCGGGTCCCTGTGTCGCTGACTTCCTTTACCACACTGCATCTCCACCTGCGTTTCAACAAGACCAAGCTTTAAAGCCCTGGTTCAAATACTACATGCTCGGCGAGGTCCACACCTACCATGTAATATGGCGACCCTCACCCGACTGTACTCCAATCTTCCTTACCTGTCCTAATCTTTTCATTCTCTGAAATATGAACACTTACCATACATACTGTTAGGGACAGAACTGTGCCCCCACCCCAATCCCTGTGGAAGTCGAAGCGCCACCTTCCCAATGTGAGTGTTTGTGCATCAAGGCTTTTAGGGGACACTCGTTAGTTCAATGAAGCATGAAGGCAGGGTCATAATCCAATGCCAGCAGTTCTGAGAACTATGTTGTCTCTCTTTTCTTATGAAGAGAAACACCAGAGATGTCTCTACACAGGGGAAGGTCAAGTGAGGACACAGAAAAGAAGCCATCTACAAGCTGAGCAGAGGCCTCAGGAGAAATCAAACCTGATGACAACCGATGTCGGGCTTCCAGCCTCCAGAACTATAAGAAATAAATATCCGTTCTTAAGACACCAGGAGTGTAGTGCTTTGAGTGGCAGCCTTAGCACATGAGTTAAGTGTTAGAGAAGCCCTGAATAATCTGTCCGCTCGACTCCAGGGTCAGCATCACGAAGACGCTGACCTCTGTTTTTAAAGCCGATGTACGTCAAGAGCACAGAACAGTGCCTGGCACTCTGCAGAGGCCCCAGCGGTACTTACTGAATGGTAAAGTGTGTTTGCTCTACAGTAGTGATGCTGACGGCATTCCAACAGCACCATGGTCGGCAAGAGTGAAGAGCTCTGACATCCCCACCAGAAGGAGTCGGAAGTGCTCCCCCTGGGTAACATCATCGTAAGGCTAGGAAGGCTGCAGTGACGTTCAAAGCTTTGCTACCTGCCTAGACCATGGCGCACTGGTATGCCTTTGAAGAACCACGTGGACTCTAGCATCACTAATAGATAACCTAGCCCTTTGTGGACACTGCTACCAAAACCAAAGCATAGGGAACAATGACGCTCTAATTCTGAACTGGGTGTTCCCTACCTCATCCCAGGTCGCCCTAACTGACGATCTACCTCTTCCCTTTATTTACACTTTCCAATCCGCTCCTGAGAGGCTACTGGTAGCATGCTAATGCCTAGCCTTTCCCCACACCTTCCTTCCACCACCGTAAATCCTTCCCCCAGTGCATCCTACTCAATCACGGCACAGTAATCAGTGTGTGTTTATTACACGTGTGCCTCCCTATCCTTCCAGAAGGAATCATTCAAAGTGAATAGAAATTGCTTCCAGGCTGTGCCTTGTATTTGCAAACATGTTTAACTTCTAAGTTGAGACTAGGAAAGGTAAAATATTGAGGAAAATCCCAACTTCTGAGCGGGTAACCACATGGAGTGGATGCTCATGGACGGTTATTCAGAAGACATGCTACATAAGACAAAGAGGAAAGTCAGCATTGTCAGTGGAACCTGGGCTTCCTGGGCCTCTGACAAGACACTTGCAAGGGGGCAGGCCAGCTCTGAGAATCAGTGACAAAGTTTGCCCGGTGCTACCAACCTGGTTTTCATTCTGACGGTATCAAGAACACCACAGCACTGTAATGTGTTGAGCAAGTATAAATGTGGCTAACGATACAACAAAAAACATGTGGAAAACACTTGTCTGCTCAAGCTTTATTTCCCAGGCACTTGGGTCTAAAGAGAAGATGTGTAAATAAAATTCCATAGGCTGGACTCCTTTTCTACCAATTATCAGAAATATGTTCCCTGAGACTAGTACATGAAGCCTAGATTTTATAATTAATATGGCTGAATAACTGTCATCTTTGAAATGATGCTACTTTTTAAAGACCCACATATGCAGAGAAAAGTAAAACTAAAGATGTTTTTGAGAGGGGATCACTAGAAGAAAAGCAATTGACTTACGACTTGATGTGACATCTACTTCATTCCTATTACAAACAGAGAGAGATCCATGCACACTTGGAAGTCAGCCCATGAGGCCTTCACAGCACCGGCCGTGACGTCTGTTCCCGTATCTTACAACTGACAGCGCGCCACACCTAAGATCATGAGGCTGTCTCGATAATCCAGAGGCCCTGTCTCTCTTTCGCTATTTGTTACAGATATTTTAGGAGCTGAGCCATTCTGGTTCTATAATGTACTCGATGGAGTGGGCTGTCATTTAAAGGAATCAGATCCGCTTCTACGTGTATGTACAACAAATTAAAGATGAAGACGAATGCAGAAAAGAAATGGGCATGGACAAAAATAATCCAAAAATTCAATCCTCAACGGTGGGTATTGACGAGGTGCAAATGAATCTGGACGCAATGCATCCACAGGGGGGTTCCGTCCAAGACTTGGTCTCTAAAGAGGCACTCCAGACAAGTCATTTAAAGACCATTCTTGGGCAGGTCAGATGGCTTAGAGTGTAAGAGTGATTGCCACCATGCCTGATGACCTGAGTTCAGTCCTTGGGACCCACATGATGGAAGGAAAGAACCAACTCTCACAAGTTGCTCAGTTGTTCTCTCTCTCTCTCTCTCTCTCTCTCTCTCTCTCTCTCTCTCTCTCTCTCTCTCACACACACACACACACACACACACACACACACACACACACACACACACACAAATAAAGACCATTCTTTGGTTTAATACTGAACACAACAAACATTTAAATAATTACAATTGGGGGTTAAGTCATCTTCAAGCACACAGGGAGGGCATGACATAAATATCTGCAGGTGAGGAAACCCTGAAGGCTGGCAAAATGGTCTGCTTCTAATCACCGAGCTCAAGGACAGAGGGTACTAGGCTCCAGAGCACCCACTGAAGATGCAGAGCCCTTTCCTTTATCACCAAGACACTGAGTTTCCTTTAAGAAGGACACAGACCTAAGCAGTGCAGTGCGGGCCTTGGAGAATAAGCAGTGGATTGGACTGAGCCAAGGATCACTAACGACAAAGGAAAAAGTGGGTGTCATTTCCTGACGGCATGAGATCCTAGGGCCACTTGACTGAGTGGACAGAGAGGGGAAAGAGACTGGAATGCACATGCTTTGGTCCTGTGCTGTTGGTCGCCCTGATGAAGGAAGGGGACATATGTAAGATGACGATGGAGCTTGGTTTCCAGTCTGATGATTGCTAAGCTGCTCTGTGAAAAAGCCTGGCCACTGGGGATTACATTTCCTACCTCATCCTAAGCCAGAGCCAGACCTGAGAAGAGAACCCCACACCAATGATTTTCAAGCCGTGTTCCAAGGAACCCTAGGATTGGGCGTTCTAATTAATATTTGTCTCAAATGTAATTTTTTAAAGTTGCTTTTGAGTTCATGACACACTTGATTTTAAAATGTGTGTCCTTGTCAGGATTACACCTGAAATGCCAAATCACCAGAGATCACCAATGTGCTGGCTTGTGTTGATGAGTCAGTTTAGTTTGGGGTAATGCAGTATCTCCTGCTAGCACGGGACTCCTAGTCTTCTAGTGGCAACTCATAAGGAAGCAGCTTGTTGATCTTTGTAAAACCCTAGACCTGTGTGCAAGTGCCATTGCAAAACTGTACAGTCACAGTACTACTGGAGTGTGTGCGTACCACATGCCTTAAGTCAGCTACTCAACTTTAGAGTGTGGATGTCTGGACTGGATCATTGCTGGAGAAGGGGCCGCTGTACAT